GGCCAGAGCAACTGCCATTAAATATTCAACTTCTTGGGAACATAAAGAGTTTGGGTACAGAAGTGAAGAAAGAAAAGTTTCTTTGGAAAGGAAGTTTAGCTACAGGGATGTTGCCTGCCTACCCTGGTCCTCTTCCTGGCCAAGAATTACACACACACACACACACACACACACACACACACACACACACACACAGATGAGTTTGTTGGGTTTCTTTTCTGTTTTTTTTTTCTTTTTTCCCTGAAGTTCCTTTGGGGAATAAAGGGGTGGTGGGGGGGGAACATGCTTCCTCCTTTAAGCTTGGGAGTGTTAAAAGCTATGGAGCAGGGTAGAGGACACTTACAGATGGTGTGTTGGTTTGGTTCTACTGTTTTTCTCCTTACACCTGGCTGAGGTCAGCTAGGAAACAGACTTGCTCTGAGGGAGGCAGGTAATTTGGAGCCTTAGGGTCAGGTCAGGCTGGGTTGGGGAAGGATAATACAGGGGCCCTTTGAGGATATAAAGAAAGAAAGATTTGGAAGAAACAGCATTGAAAAGGAGATGAGAAGAGAGAGTGTCAGAGGCAAATTCTGCTGTGTCACCAAGAAACTTTGCTTCAGATACACATTCTGTTCACATATTCTCCATATTATCTCCTTCTCCCCCCTCCCCCATGCTTCTAAGGAAGGGGCAGTCATTTATAAAGTTATTTTTGTAATAAATGTGCTCTAGCTTCCTGACAAGCAACTTTCAAAGGAGATTTGGTAAATCATAACCTCCTTACGTTAGGGCTGTATTTTGCAGCTCTGTAGGACATTTGCACCCGATAAGACATAGAGGACTGAAAGGACGGTGACATGCAACTGTATTACTCCTGAAACTTCATGTAAATGATTCACTGAAGCTTCTTAATCCATAATCATGCAGTTTTCCATTTTGGCAAAAATCTGACCCTTATTTCAACATCTGAAAAGTCAGAGTAAAAGTGGAGAGAGTGTGAAGGGAAATGTGTTTCTCCCTTTTGGAGGAAAATTCAGCTGTCTTGGCCCTTCCCAGCAGAAGAACATAGTTGGGAAAGATGACATTTGATCCAGTTATGGAAGATTATTTTGGTGATGATGTTTCTCTATTTTCGCTTTTAAGCACCTTGATATCTCAGTGTTTTAAAACCAGTTTTGCCCTTTTTGTCTCTTAAAGCAGTTTTGTTATCTTGGGATTGCTTAGTTTAGAATTTATCTCTGTTAGGCTAAATACAACTAAGANTTCTCTTTTAAAGCAGTTTTGTTATCTTGGGATTGCTTAGTTTAGAATTTATCTCTGTTAGGCTAAATACAACTAAGATGTAAATGTGTTTATGATTGGGAAATAGTTGTAAGAAAAAACAGAACCACATTTGGGGCCTCCTCCTGTCTGTGATACCTACATAAAATGGTTAACAGAATTCCTGAGCCTGCTTAAAACCCACTAGGTTTAAAGTCCCTGATGTTGGCAAACTCAATTTACTTCCAGTCCTAGTCTATAATACCTGTTTTAGCGCGCCACCTACTGGTTGTAGTTAAGATTGCTGTCAGTGTTGTGTAACAGATTTTCTACAGCATTTGTAGTTTTTAGCATTCTTTAAAAATGATGGTAACATCCCCAGAGCACTGAGTTGCTTGTGGGGAACTAAAGGCACTAAGTTAAGAGACTCCAGTTCTTCCAGTGCTTCAGTTTCTTCTCAGTTATATGAAAGGCACTTTGGAGACATTGAAGTCACTCTTCTCTGACCCAAAGATAGTCCATACCAGTGGCAAAGTGGTCTATTCAGAGATAAGCACAGCAAGGACAGAGTATACAAGCTTTTTGCAAATAAACAAAATCCTGATTTGTGATAATATGTCTGATTATCTTCCTAAATTTTGTTCCTTTAGCTTAGCTTCCCTCTCATGTTTTTATTGAAAGTTTTCATTGTAGAATTCATTTAAAAATTAGCACACAGGTGTGTATAGAGCTTTCCCACTCCTACCCCCACTTCCAAGAAGCCCTTGTTAACAGATTAGGGTACATCATTTTCTTCACATGTCCTTTATCTTGTTCCATATCCTGTGGCTGTCACTAAAAGTACAACCAGTCATTTTAGAAGCTACCGAGCTGGGAACAGTATGCTGTTAGACGTGTTAATTTGATTCTGTTCATAGTGATATTTGACTTTTGCACAGACTTTTTTTATTGTCCAGTGATGCATTATTTAGGAGTTTCAAAATGAGGTATTCTAATCCTGTCATTCCTTCATTTATTAGCTGAAATACTTCTCTAACGAGAAATATTCTTTCATCACTACTGAGTTACTCTGAGGTACAGTCTAAACAAATGTAAACATACATTTACAACTTTTTTAAAAAGTAAAATTAAATCAGGTTTAGTTAAACAGATGCTTTATAGTAGACCTTTTTATTTTAGGATTACAAGTCTTACAGAGCACTAATTTCCTTAAATTTAGATAAACATAATTAAAGAATGAAAGTAACTTAAATAATGTCTTAAAATGATACAAGAAATAGCAGGTTAATGTGTAATTCATTCCTAAATGGATTCAGTGGTCATTATGAAAATAGATAGAAAGCTTTATGGGCTAAATGGTGGAGTTAGCATTTGAACCAAAATGAACTCCAGAGCCCATCATCTTAATTCCACTGTGCTGCTCTCACTGGTGAGGTGTGGAGATGCTGGGCAGCTCTTTTGGTGGTACCGTTGTAAAGTGATCAGGCCCTGTGAGATCTCATAGAGGACATAGGCAGCTATTAGCTCTTAAATGAACTTTTAATCTGAAGGAGTTTTTCTTAGGGTGGAAGGGCTGACCTCTAAGGCTTAGTATGTTAGCAAAGAGGCAAATACCTGCTATTGCTCCAGAAGTTAGAACCAACAAATTTAGTGTTGTGTATACAGGATGTATATCTTAAAATTGAGAGCATATCTGTTGATGTAAACTATTTAGAGGGCAAAAGAGCTTTTTTATTTTGTGTTTTAATTCTAATTTTCTCTTCCTAAAACTTTGTGGGTGTTTATTTTACATGTGAAAGGAGGAGGGCCAGGATGCAATTCATGAGTCTCCAGAGCTGGGCTCTTCCCTTACACACCTTAGAATATGAGTGCTTTTATTTAGAAGGAATTGCATCAAGATACTGCCAGTGGAGTGGGTGGATCTATAAGGGTTAATTCTATTTAAAAGGCTGGGGGAGGGTTGGCCAACTGGATCAGGGCTGCCGTATCACATCTTTTGTTTATGGTCCAGTATGGGGCACTGGACAATTTTTAGAACCATATCCATCAGTACAGCTGCTAGGCTGGAAAATGGTTAATAATAGATGTCAAGGCACAAAAGAGGTTTTCATCCTTCATTATGAAATCATCCATTTTTCACTGGTTGGTGGGGTTTGTTCTTGCTGGAAGACATAAGAGGATGGTAGCACCACTGATTTGCGCACCCTGGTATCAGATTGTGTTCCCAGATTATAGTACATCCTGTGATGTAGGAAAATGGAATTTTGAAGTCAGGGCCTTATGTTGAGTTAATAATGGTATTCATATGTTGTCATGAGACCCAGAACAGGCTTTCTTCAATGAAGCAACAAAACACAAGAACTATACAGTACTACTTTTATAATTGTATGTGAAGATATCTTAGTATAACCCATAGAGCATGGACACAACAAGCTACAGGATTACTATCATGGAGGTGGTGTGGGGATGGGTGTTTTAATACTGAAATATAGGAAGTAATCTAGAACCAGGGACTTGTACAGCTATTTCAGGTAGAACTCAATCTAGAACTTGTTCGCTTTTCCACCCAAATCAAAGACTTTACCTCTAACCAAAGTCCTGAACAGGTAAACCAAATTTGGATAGTAAGTACCCTAAAGAGGTTGTTGAATATCTGAGTAGTATCTGGGCCATAATTCCATCACCTGTGAAATGCAGTTGAATATTGAGCAGACTGAATGTTTTGTCCCGTGAGGAAGCAGTTGGCTTTATGTAGACTAGTGCTAGAAGTGGACCAGTATAGAACAAAGAAGAAAATACATGGAGAACATGAACAGAACAATAGAAGCAGAGAAAAGAAAGACTGACAAGATCAAGATGCATCCAGCTAAAGATTGGCTGATTTCCTAATGAGAAATTTGCAAGAATGGGAGTGAATACAAGCTAATATTCTTCATATATAAAAAGTGCTTAGAAAAGGTGGGGGTGGGGGGAACTCAAGACCTGAATAGGCATTTCTTAAAAAAAGAAATGTAAATGACAAATAGAGGTCAAAATTTTAATTCTGTAATTAAATCAATTTAGAATAAAAATAATTTTCCATTTTGATACTAACAAATAGGCAAAGTTTGGGGGGTTTTTTAAGTGATGATAAACATTGCTGGTAGAAATGTTGGGAAACAGGTTCTGTTTTATTGATGGAAATAATAGAGCATCTTTGCTGGATGATACATCAGATGCTTTGGAAAATGTACGTGTTTGTCACCAAGGCTAAAACTTATTTTAAGAATTAAGGATATACAGGAGGATGTAAGTATGAAGGTGCTCGTTGCAAAAATTTGGATGGACAAAAACAAAGGTGTTAATGATGGTTAGTTCTAGTTTTCTTTATGCTTGTCTTCTTTTCTTCCTGATTTTTCTGTAAGGAAAAGGAAAAGTATGTAACACTTGTGTATAATGTGAACTTCCACTAAGTTACACCACAGTCTTAAGGAAGCTTTGCTGCTTGGAAGAGGCTGTACATATTGTTCCAGAAATGTCCGGGTTTATGTATTTGAGTTAGGAATGCCAGTTGGCGTTCAACTGGTTATGACCATGGAGCCTGGTTTTAATTATACAAAATGGCATCTTTCATAGGTAAGGGAAACAAATTCCAGCCATTCCGGGGGCAGGGGAGAGGAAGGAGCAGAGAAGGGGGGGTGAGGAATATTATATTTTATTTTTACTAGTTTATATTTAAAGTAACCTTGGGATTTAGATGGACACCTTGTTTTGTTTTCTAGGCCAAACACCAGAACACCCTAGAAAGCTTCACTAAAAGAATGCTCATGTTTGACCCAGTTCCTGTCAAGCAAGAGGCCATGGACCCTGTCTCAGTGGTAAGTTATCCAAAATTGAACATCTTCTTATTTATTCCAAGTAGTAATGCCATCATCATGTGTTGTGTAATTCCTTAAAATTACTCCATTACTTAACAGGCATTTGGTAGGTATATTTTTCAAAGACCCCAGTAATCGAAGTTAATACCCTATTAGCAACTATGCATCCTCTAATAAATGGGATCCATGCTTCCTTCAGGCCTGTGCCCCACACCCCTCAAAATACTATCAGCACAGAACTTGGGCCATAGGCAAATCTTCTCACCACAAAAGTAGGTTAAAAAAAAAACTCCTCAGTTTCCAGTTTTTTAGTTGGAGCTCTCAAGATTATTGGTCTTGGCAAAAAAACATTTGGCTAAACTGATTGTTTTTAAACATTAATGTGCATCCAGGGACATTTTTTTAATTAATTTTTTTTGAATGTGTGACTTTTTGTTTTTAATAGAAAAAATGAACAAAATTATAATGATGAAGCCCAGATGGATGGAGGTGGGGTTGTCACAGTGCATCCTGCTTCTTAGGCTCCTCTGCCGGCCTGGGGCTGTGCTCCCTGGCTGCAGCAGCCAGGGCCTCCTCCCTCTCACCTGGGCCTCCTGCAGAGACTGATCCAGACCATCGGCAAACCTCTGCACACAACTCCAGTGTTTGCTCTGGATCTCAATGACTTTCTCTAGTGTGGCCGCTGAGTCAATGTTGGGCTTTTGCTGTAAGACTCTCTCGTCCAAGGGCTGTGCAGAGCTGAGGCACAGGCCTAAAAAGCATCACAGATGACAGTCAAGTCATGGCCTCCCTCCAGGGCCAGCACCACCCACACCCCTGCTCAGGGACATTTTTTTAAAAACCTGTGGGCAGTGTTTATCATGGTTAGGAAGCAGTATCTGAATGTATCTATAAGAAATCTGTATTAAAAACATGATACAGGTGACCTAGAAGTGTTTTGTTTATTCAAGCTCACCTCCCTGACTATATAGAAGAGTTTCTCAAAAATGAAGTTGCCCTTTTTTTAAAAAAAAATACTGGAAGAAAAAGATATTCCATTAAAATCTCATATAGTGTTTAGGATGTGTTTCACGGAGCTGATTAAAAAGATGAAACCCAAAAATATATATATATAACAACTCTTCAGTCCTTTTACATGTAAAAATAAATATATTAAGAATAAAATAATTTGCTTAAGAAATAATGACAACAGCTGTATAGAGCTACGAATGTATGAGAGATGACTGAGGAGAAGCTAGTGAAAGAACGAACTTGGCAGTGAGGAGGAATTTTCACTTCACTTGGAAGAGTCTGGGTGGGTGGGAATTATGTTCATTGTCTTTTTCAACACCTAGTGCTAAACTGGCCCCTCTGTGAGCCAGGCCCCTCCAGATGCTCCTCAGCCACCAGGAGACTGGTAATTAGTCCAGGTGTTTCTATAGATCCAGCACTGGTGCTGTGGAGGTGGGACATGGGTGACAACAGAAAGGTGTCTCCACTTCAGAGCAGGGAGTGGTTCAGACTTGAGGGGATCTGGGTTAGTGAATAGGAAATAACAAGGCAACACTCGCACTCTGTCTTGCTCTTTCCTTCCAAGGGCTTGGAAAATATTCACAAGGGGGAAAACTTGGCCTGAGATGTATATGAGAAGGTTGATAATGACACGCTTGCAAAATTAGATCATCTTTATGCATTGGCTGTGGAGGTTCCTGCCAAAAATGTTTATACAACACGGGGGTCACTCAGAGGCCCTTGGAACTGAGTTGCCATGGATATTACTAACCCAGTGAAGTGTTTATCACTGTGTGCAATGAAAAGTTAAGTCAGAGTGGCTTTAAGGAAATAGCACTTACATTTCAGCATAGAACGGATAACTGAGTGTCTGAATATAACTGAGCAATAAGAATTTTATTAACAGTGAATTGACTACTAATGTTATTCAGCACTATCATGGTATTCCTCACCCTTCCCCCAGCTACTGTGTGTTCACGTTGCAGGAAAATAAGGTGTAAAATTTCTCCGTTAATTATATCCTTGAAATATGAATAGGTTTTCAGTACCAGAGAGTGTGATTAGTTTTATAAATGAAGCAGAACCATCAATGACGCACTTTACTATTCAGTATACTTCCAGGGCTTTTCATCGAGCATGGAAATAGGAGGGCTCAAGAGCCTATTCTAAAGCTGAAAATGAAGATTCACGTTGCTAAGTTAGTATGATATAATTGAATGCAAGGAAATGCACTTAGCTGAAAACAAGGAAATAAAATGCATTTGAAATAGCAGTTATACTTGTAATGCTGTAACTTATATTAATATATGAACTTAGAATATATAGAAGTACTTTTGCAATTAATGGCCTTTTTCTCCTTCATGCTTGAGTGTGCAACTTCACCTAACACAGAAATTTAGATTGTTTCACCAAATTTAGTGTCATTCCATATAATGAAGTTCCTTTTTAATTCAGTGAAATCTCAGTTAACTGAAAAGTTTGGAGAGTAGGGTGTTGTGATTATTTTCTCAACAAAATTAAGTAAGCTTCTGTTTTCACTCTTAAATCTTTTTTGAATTTCATCTTTCCTGCCTTCATAGGTGGAGTGTATTAAACCTAATTTCTTATTTTTTTTATTCCTTTTTCTTCTTAATTCCATATTTGATCTGAAGGTTGAAGTCTTTGGTTATTTAAGTCTACGTTTTAAACATTAAGGCAGTAAGAATAATTTGTAAGAGGATTTTTGTTTTAATTCCACACATGACTTATCTTCCCTTCCCACCCCCCTTTTTCTTAAAATGAGAGCACAGCAGAAACAATCTGCCTATTTGGTATTTTGCTATACTTTAGAGAAAGTGAGGAAATGTCATTTCTCACTTACCCAAATATAAGCCTTCATACCATCCTGTGCTTTGAGGCAAATGGTAAGGCTTTATATCACCTTTAAAGTTAGAATTTGCAAGAATTAGGGAGCAGAGGAGACCCTGCCTGCTCAGGTCTATGCCTGGATCTCTGCTATATATTCTCAGTGCAGTGTTGGCAAAACCACCAGCAGCTCCGTGAGCCTTCCTTTTTATCATTTTTTAATTTGTAAAATTGGAGATTATAATTTGTAAACCATAGACATCATGTGAATATAAAATGTACACGTAAAGGAATTATCTTTACCCATACATTTCCAAAGAAAGTTGAAGAATTTAACTCAGGAAGTGAAAAAGAAAACAGATTTTTAAAAAGTATTCTTTCTTATTCTATTCCTATAGGAAGATTACTCTTGAAGAAAGCACATTCCTTTTTTTTTTCTTTTTTTTTTCTTTTTTTTAATGAAAATTATTATCTAACAGAAACCTGACAGATTGAGAAGCACTTAACAGTTCCTCTGCTTGGTTCCAGCAGACACTTTTCAGAACTCTAATGAGCCTGGTAGAAAGAGAGCTTTCTACTTTTGTTTGCATAGAGAAGCATGACATTTGCTGTTTCCAGAGTGCTTGTTTATAAATGTACCACACCTTCCTGCATTGGGAACCCCACCCTTAGTCTGAAGATTCTTTTGACTTGCCATCGCCCTGTCACGGATGTTCACTTTTTTTCCATATTAATGAATAGTGAAATAGAGTCTTTATCCACTTAAAACTGTCTTGTAATGGAAAACTCACCAAAAATATTACCAATAAAATAAGAAACTATTGAAATTCTCACTTGAGTATAAATGATAGCTTTGGAAAATTATCCAAACCAAATCTTTTTGAAAAGTAAATCCAGTACCACCCCTAGCTGGGGGGTTGGGGACCCTTGCTTGAACCTTATCTTCAGGCTGCTCTGCTCTAGCACACACAGCCTCCTCGGAAGGGGCAGTGGCATTGGGATGTCCATCAGTGGCCAGAGGCACTTCCTCAGCTTCATTAACATTTGGTACTTGCCTCTGATTTGGATTAGGAGCCAGTGTGGCCATGCTTATTTGCATTGCTTAGTTAGAAGATAGGAATGGTATGGAACAGAAAGGAAGCAACTATTTACCAGGCTGTACCCACCCCAGGCACACACCAGGAGGAAACCCTGTATCAGTCCTTACACTGTGGGAAACGAGATTGTTGCAAGCTGAATGCAGTAGCTTGTGTGCTCCACCCAAATAATTAAACGTGTCTTATAGAAGGTTCTGATAAACATTGCTAGGAAATTTGCTAGTGAGACAGTTTGAGGAACCACATTTCTTCACCCTTTTGTTAGGCAGTCGACTAGAAATAGTTAATTGTGTACTCAGCTGTGCCCAAAGGTGTTTCCTTACTTTTAGCCCTGTAGCCTTACAAACACCACCGTCAGTCTAGGGCACAGGGGTCATTCACTGGAGAGCAAACTGTCAGCAAAACTGTGCATAATGGTTAGAAAACTTGGCTTTCTGTGTGGCTGTCTCTTCCTTTATGGCTTGAGAAACCTGGAATGTTACTAAATTTGCAAATCTCCCAGGTTCTAAATTCCTATTTTCCTCAAACTCACCCACAGATAGAAAAATCCAGCAATGACAGCAATAAAAGTATATCCTCATTTTGCTTCCTATTGAGCTGCCAATAACTTGGCATTAAATCTAGGTCATAGGGAGCTCTTTGAAGAATAGGGCTGAAAATAAGGGAGAAGCTACATGTCAGTGAGTAGAGACAACTAATACTGCCTCCCATTTCCTGGAGTTTTGTTTCTAGTATCAGAACTTTTGCACTTTAGAGAATTATATATAAAGCAGGTTAAACTTGAGAACCAGGGGAAATTTTTTCCTCTGTATTTAATTACTTCCTTAAACCCTCATTGTACATGATTTATAATTTTTTTGGTTAGTGAGCCTTCTGCCTCTTTTAACATTTCAATTTAAATATATTGAATATTAATATTGCTGTATGTTTGGGGCCCTCACACCTTGTGATGTACCTGTGTGTGCCTGGTTCTAAAGAAAGTTAGAAATAGTCTTCATTTAATTCTCCATACATAACTCAAAGCTGTTTTTAAAAGCAACAATTTATGTATTTTATATTTCCTGATATTATATCCTTCGTGTCCTTGTTTTTAAGCAGTATTATTAATGAAAATTTCCCCCCCCCTTTAAATTGTATTTAAGTGGTTTACCAGATTTTAATATAAAAATGAGTATTTTTATTCTACATCTCTGTCCTTGAGAGCTATGCCATTCAAAGGGTGGTCTGTACACCGTGGGCCACCCCCAGCCCACCCCGTCATTGAGAATCTAGTTTAGCGAGCTCCCCAGGTGAATTCACACGCAGTGCTGCTAAGGAGCCCCAACAGGAGGCTCAAAGCCCGTTACAGTGCACACCTCGTGTGTGAGAAGAGAAGGGAATCCTAGCACCACAGTGTGTATTAAGCTCATTGCACAGGTTACCGTATTGAATCCAATTTTAATTTTAACTTCACAGCCTTCTAGGAAGAGCTTTGCCATATCCTAAAGGCACCAGTACTTCTAATATTTAGTAATTTTTTTGCCCTCTTTTATTTGAACAGGTAATATTATATCACTACTGAAAAAAATAGTTTTTTCTTACCCATTTAAATAAACATCTATTTTAAAGTGCTGTATGTTCACCATGTGCCATCTATAAGTATCTTCAGTACCCCAGAGAGGTGTGCACCAGACTAAAGGCATCACTGTTCTAGGAAACCATACAGATTGTGATGATATGGATAAAGAAAGGACAGATGAACATAAATACCACCTGTCTCCCTGTTCCCTGATACCCTGATGCTCAGCAGGCCTGCAGCAGAGGCCAGGCATCTGAATTTTAAAAACAGTACAAGTTATTCTGATGCATAGGCAGGTGGAGAGTCACCAAGCAAGGCCCAGAGAGGAAAGGGTGTGATCTCAGTTGTAAGCCCAGTCAAAACCACTACTACCCCACAATGATTTATAACTTACAATAGTGGCCTCTGAAGGGTCCGGGGAGGCTCAGAAATTAAGTGCATTTAAGTAATTTAATTACAAGGTCCTGTTGGTGGGTTTTCTCAATTGCATCATGAGCTACTATTGCCTCAGAATCATAAACACACAGGGATTTAAGAGCTGGAAGACCTGATACACAAGACTGCAGGTTCAGTCTCGGGTCAGGGCACATATAAGAATTGGCCAATAAATGCATAAATAAGTGAACATCAAAAATCGATGTCTCTCTCTCCCCACTTTCCCTTCTTCCCTTCCTCTCTCTCTCTAAAGCTCAATAAATAAATTAAAAAAAAAAAAATTTAAGAGCTGGAAGAGAGGCACAGTATGTTGCTTATCACTTTCACTGTAAAACATTCAAATATGAGTAGTTTTCTACAGGAGAACTTGACATGTTATCACTAAAAATTTCCCTAAAACAGGTAAAGAAAACAGCTTATGTTTAATTTTTTTTAAAATTCATCTTTACTGTTGAAAGTATTACAGATGTCCCCCTCGTTTAATTTTTTTAAAAGCATTACAACAAGGATTTGTTTAAAATTATAGTTAAGGAATAGAATAATTTTAGTGAATTCATGGCCAGGAACATTAACTAGAATGTGCAATTATTATGATTGATTTATATTTAAAGCTGGCAGATGTTAGGTTATCCTGATATATTAGAAGAGAGAAGGGTATTTGAAGATAAATTAAGTCAGTTGTAGAACGGATCTTAGATTTAGGAGGAAACAAACCATTTTCTCTCTCTTCCTATATCTTCTTAGCTTAGCTTTTGGGAGGGTAGGATAGCAAGATGTAGAGGAGAGAACACTGGGCTTCAGCTTGTGTGCAAGTCATTTCAAGCATCAGGTGGCCTGATTTGAGTCATATTATATTAGCTTTTTCTTACAGTTCTGTCTCATCCACAAATGTGGAAATCAAGTCATCTTCTACAGCTTCATTCAAACTGTGAATAAGACCATTGAACAAGTTGGGTCCAAGGACATAATTACCCTACTGTGGGTGGCCTTCAGTGTATAGGCATGTAGGGTGACTGACCATCCTGGTTTGCCTGAGACCATGGCATTTCCTAGGTTGTAGGACTTTTAGTGCTAAAGCTAAGATGGTCCTGAGCAAATCAGGACTGTTGGTCATCCTAGGCATGGGTTCGTCAGCGGCTCAAGCCCACCCAAAGGTACTACCACGCAGCTCTGTTTCTTCATATTTTACAAAGTATATCATGAGAAATGTTCAGTGCCCTGCCGCTGAGGTAAACACTAAAGCCAGAGTGAGCATTTCCTGCCAATTAAGAAACCCCATCAGAAAAGCAACGAAGTTACTTGGTTTGGCTGCTTCTTGGTGAACCCCAATACTGGCTGCTAATGATAAAAGCCCATAACCTGTTTTAGAATTTTGCCAGGTAGCAACCTTAACCTTAACATTTCACATGGGTGTCATCTTAGAATTAAATTTGAGCTTTTTCTTGTGATGTGGTTACCACATTAACCTTAGTTCTTATGTTTATTAGACCAGCTCTCTAATAGCATTTTTTTAGCATTGAGCATATATCTGAATCCAAACCACTTATTAAAGCCCATGTAATCAAAAGTGCCTTGTTGTATGTTTTCATCTTAATTCGTGTTTAAAGCAAATGTACTTATTTGGCTGTTTCCACTTCTGTTTTTCCTTTCCAATAGTCATACCCGTCTAATTACATGGAGTCCATAAAGCCCAGCAAGTATGGAGTCATCTACTCCACACCATTATCCGATAAGTTCTTCCAGACCCCAGAGGTCCTGTCGCACGGGATGCAGATGGAGCCAGTGGACCTCACCGTGAACAAGCGGAGCTCCCCGCCCTCGGCAGGGAATTCTCCCTCCTCGCTGAAGTTCCAGGCCTCGCACAGGAGAGCCTCGCCGGGGCTGAGCATGCCGTCTCCCAGCCCGCCCATGAAGAAGTACTCGCCCCCTCCCCCGGGCGTGCAGCCCTTCAGCGTGCCTCTGTCCATGCCTCCGGTGATGGCCGCTGCCCTGTCCCGGCACGGCATTCGGAGCCCGGGGATACTGCCGGTCATCCAGCCAGTCGTGGTGCAGCCTGTCCCCTTCATGTACACCAGTCACCTCCAGCAGCCGCTCATGGTGTCCTTGTCTGAGGAGATGGAAAACTCAAACAGTAGCATGCAAGGTAAATCCACCGCTGATCCACGCTGCTGCTCCCACTAGTGTCTCAGCGTCTTCACCAGACAGCCTGGTGAGAGATGGAAGGAAGCAGAGCCAGAGCTCTTCAAAGGGAATATTCCACTCGGAGTCTGCCTAAGGCATTTCCTTTTGTGTGTGTTTTTTGTTTGTTTTTGTTTTCTTAAAAGTGTTGATACTGGAAGAGCTCCCAAGAGTCAGGCTGTCTGTTTAAAGCTTTGAAATGATTACTTTCACTATATAATTGTCAACTTTGGGATTGTAAGAATCTGGACTTTATGTTTTGCTTCATGGAATGCCAAAGTAGTTCTAGGTGCAAAGAGGCATTTACTAAATCCCTTCAGATGATGGTGATTACTAATGGCTATTAAAAGCGCCTTGTTTATTTACTGGGCAGAAGGCTGGGGTTAAAAGAAGACAATCAAAAATTATAAGGGAGAATCATTTGGGGGCTGATGTCTTACAAGTCCAGTTTCCTTTGTACACTGCTTATTGGCAAAATAATGGTCCAGAGAAACAAGGAAACAAGAATCCCCCACAGATTCATTGCTGCTATAATTTTGCCAAAGGCAGATAAATAGTCACACATCAGTGTTATAGATAGGGCCTGTGCAATAAGCTTTTAAAAGCTGAAATTGGTAAATTGTACATAGAGTGACTTTTCTATTTTTATTTTTTAGTACCTGTAATTGAATCATATGAGAAGCCTATATTACAGAAAAAAATTAAAATAGAACCTGGGATCGAACCACAGAGGACAGATTATTATCCTGAAGAAATGTCACCCCCTTTAATGAACTCAGTGTCCCCCCCGCAAGCATTGTTGCAAGAGTAAGTATATTTAGGTCTACCCAACATTTGTGTAGCAGCATGCATCTTGGGACCTGGAATGGAAGCACAAGCTTCCAACATGTGATATGTGGATTGCCAGGAACGCCTTGTAGCATGTGGCAGCCACGGGGCAAGATGAGAGAATTTCTCCAAAAACAATTCTCTGTTACACGGACAGCATTATGACAGTGACCTCAAGTTACCAGTGAGTTGGTCACCAATGATTTTGCCACCTTACCACATACATTGTTTTTATCTTTTTTTTTTTATCTTCACTCTTCCAGACTATGCACACATAGTTTTTTTATAATCTTAATCCTACCATGGAATAATCTTAATCCTACCATGGATTGAATTTGATGTTATAAATATTCCACAAGGTTGGATCATGAAAATTTCATGAACCCATGTTGTACTTCTAGTTGTCACTTCTAATAGAGTATACTGTCTCTATGATGAGGAATGTCTTTAACTAAAATCTTCAGGCCAACCGTAAGTCTAAGAAAGACACTCCAAAACAAGTCCTATAAATAAGTGGTGGCAACAGAAATTGACCATGTAGCTCAGAGAAGCTCAGCAATGAAAGAACTCTTTGGTCAGCATTCAAACATCTGAATGGTGGTTTATTTTAGGTCTAACTTGCTTTAATATGACAGTGCCACACACAGGTTAAATAACCATTAATGGTATTTGCCACTGTAGATAACCTTGAAGTTTACTGGTGATTACACTGGAAGCTGTGTTTGAAGTAGTTAAGAAAGTCTGACATCTTGGATCCCAGCTCTGCTCTCTTCCATATGTGTGACCTTGGGCTAATCATTTAATCTTGCTGCCTCTGTTTCCTCTTTATTTTCATTATTGGTTGTAATTATTTTTCTTGTTGTAATTGTCTTGTGTTATGGTGCTTTCAACATTGGATTTAGTGGCAAGCCTCCTACTACTGAGACAACAATTAAACAAATGTTCTGCCCATCTTTCTACTTTATCTTCTCAACCCCTCTCCCTTAAACAGTTAATTTTGCAACAGAATATGAATTCTCTGGTTTTAGAACAGCTATTTTCTGGAACTCCCAAGTATTCTGGTTGTATCCACATTCAACTCAAGTAGGTGCCTTCGTAGTAGCTCACATATTAACTGCCCATTGTACCAAATCATAGTCAATTTTTGCTGTTGTCGTATACTCGCTGATAAATGGAGAATGAATTTTCTTAGCCACATCAGCAGTAGGGTGTCTGATGGACTTGTACATTACTGCATAGCATCCCTTTCAGCCCCCAAAGAAACTTTTCCAAGGGTTCTCAAAGGAGTTATTTTATTGTCCCATAACCATTATGTGGGAGTCAGAGCAAACAAGGAACTTAGGAGCCAAGACATCAGATAACTCTCCTGCAATCACACTGTTAACAGCAGAGGGGGCCTGGGCTTGATCTCCTGCTTCCAGATGAGGGCACTTCCTGCTGTTTTTAACCTATATCTAGCCTACTGCATCTGCTCATGCACTCAAGTGAAAGGAAAAATAGAAAGACTATCCAAAGTGGACACATCATGTAGGCTGTATTACCTCTTTTTTTTTTTTTTTTTTTATGATGACGGGTGTCTCTGGCAAGGTAACTGGCAACATGACTTGGACTTGTAATTGTTCCTGTACAGGTGATGGAAAAGATGCTATAAAGCCAACTGCACACACAGGGAGGGTTCCATTGACTGAATGGGGTTATTCCAAAGTCTAGGTTATTTATTAATTACAATGTAAAACTGGGAAGAAGAATATTTGAAGGCAATATGCTGTGCTCTGCTGCTGCTGAAGAGAAAATACTTTTTTCTTTCTCATTTTGAATAATGTTCTTGTGATGATCTCAAGCTGGATGGCTTTTAATGATTAATGAGCAATATGCTTAGTCTAATGTAGACCTAAGAATGAATTTTGCTTCTCAAAAAATTCAACAGATTAGCCACAACCGGGACATGTACTCTTAAAGTAATTTTCTCACAGATGCAATTGAGTAATGTCTTGGAGTGTGACCAGTAGCAGCCCACATAGGAAACTAGCTAGCCAGGAAAGAATCATTTGAAACCAAGCGCCTAGTAACAATGAGGCAGCCCCAATATTTGCCTTAAAAACCCTTCTTTTAGAGGCAGACTTCAAAATACAGCTTTGAAATCCATTTGCTTGATCATGCAGCTACTGCTCTAGAATTATTTGTAAAATCACTCAAATGTATATCGAATTGCTTTTGCTATATATATTTGCATGTGTGAAAATGTATTTATAACAAATAGCTTAAGGATCAGATTGCCCCATTTAATTGTGTATATGAATGGTAGCAAATTTAAGAGAGGTGAGCTTAACTCAAAACAATGACCCGGTCTATAATATTTAATAGCTATTCTAACTTCTTGGTTGTAATGATCCCAAACAACCTCTCCAATAATGAGCAGTAAGGAGACCGAGAAGGGTAAGATCCCAAGATCCAGATCTCTAGCCTCAGCCTATACTAACATCTGGCTCTTTAGAGATAGGGCTGCTAACCACTCTCAGAATGATGCTGTTTTTTGAGGTAGATGTTAGCTGATACAGAGATTTCCTGATATGGTGTGGGGATGTTACAAAAAAATGACTCATGAAATTAAACAATGTAGGGGAAAAGTTTGCAAATAGATTTTAGAACCTCAAATTAAAGAGAGAGAGAGAGAGAGAGAGAGAGAAACATCAGTCAGTTGCCTAGTTGCCTTCTGTAGGTGCCCCAACAGGGGATTGAACCGGCAATCTTTCAGTGCACAGGACAACTGAGCCACTCTCGCCAGGCCAGGTACTGTTCTTAAATGCTTTGTGTACATTACTCAAAACCACCTTCTGAGATCATATCATCCCCATTTCACTGAGAGGATAAACACCTTGCCCCCAGGGTCACAGGGACCATCAGAGCTGCAATTTAAAGCTAGAGCACACAGCTTCTTAGCATACCTTTATATACAAGATCAGCAACTGGAAAACAGTTAACTACTGCACAGAAACTATTAGGCTGATTCCCAACCCATAAAATCTAATAATTGGGAGAGACTTCTAAAGTCATCTGGAATACTCTCAGTATCCCAGAGCACATGAGATACATTTAATCATTTTGTCCCTCAGCATTTTATTTCCTGAAGTTCTCCTAATGAAGATGAAACATTTTCAATCAGTGGCACTGAAGCTGAAAGTTAAAAATAAACTGATAACTTTTTTAATTGAAGAATTTTTAATTGATAATTTAGCTTAATAAAACCTGTATCTGTACATAAACTTCTCACTTCCCTGTTTTCTCTGTTTGTACATTTATAAGAGTTATGTTCTTGTCTTTTTCCCCCTCACTAGTTCATTGTCACATTTCCATGTATCTAAACTGGGCCATTTTATTTTTCTGTATCGCCCCTCAATCACAGGGGTAGGAAGGTAAAGTGACACTCAAAGCTAGGGCAAAGCTAACAGTTTTCTTTGCTAATAATAAAAGTGAGAAATAAGTGAGGTCACTTAAACACACCTTTTATTCTTTTAGACACTTCCTAGCATGCCTGAAAAAGTTACTGATAAAGAACATGTATTTAAATTTTTACCAACATTAAAAAAAAATCAAGTTTCATTTCAGGGACTCTCTTTTGATTTTTATGACTAAATTTATTATCCTTTTTTTTATCTCATTCTCTTTTTCCTTCTCACCAATCTTTTTTCTCCCTTCACACACTTGTATAAAACATTCATATGTTATTTGGAACATCTTAAAACTTTAAGTTCAAATTTAAAAGAAAAGTCTTTTGTTACAGTTGGAGGCCAACTACATAAGCATGTAATGTATCAAGTAATTAGTCATTAGGAAAGCAAATTAACGGACTGGAATTAATGGATGGATTAGGAATTTTAATTATTACAATCAGCAGAGGAAGTCTGGGAAAACTATAGACCTTTCCCAGCTCTTCTCCATCTGCCTTTTCTCTCCAACTACCTTTCTGAAAAAAGAAAAGGTCCATAGTAATGATGTTTGATACAGTTTGATTTGTGCAGATGCAGGAATGAGAGTCTGGGTGAGAGCAATCAGGGAGGTAGGGAGAATATCAGGGGTTCCCGAGGGAGCTGGCTGTGCCACAATGTCATGGGCAAGGGGCTTCCTCCTGACTGCTAGCACTGCCCTGAAGTTCTCCCTCTAACAGGAATCATAGGAACAGGAAAGATCTGAATTTCTGAAAACAGCAGTACCAACATTTTTTTTGTTGTTTTTTGGAACAGCCAGCATTTGAAAATCAAATATGAATTGTCGATTTTTAAAAGACTCTGACTAAATGCCAGTTATGTAAAAGATAAAGTGTAGATACATCCTATAGTGTGTTTGCCTGAGACTTAGGTATTTGATCTTTCACTAAAGAACAATAAATGAAAATAAGGATGGCCTATGAAAACATGGTAGAGTATCCAGCATTACCTAGTGCCACAAAATTCTATAAACAGGCAATTTTTATTGAGGCAAAGAGACTCCTATCACTTTGCACCTCCCTGCAGCATAGTGCCTAACCCTTCTTACTGTCATTACTTATCTACATGTCTGTCTCCCCCTAGAGTGTGAGCTCCTCGAGGGCAGGAACCCTGTTTTTATTCATCTTTGTGTCCCGGTGCCAAGCACAGTGCCTGGCTTATGGTAGGTGCTCACTCAATGTTTGTTGAATGAATATATAGCAGTGCTTCTTGGGTTGATCAGCTAATTTCTTTTTGTTTATTTGTTGGGTTTTTTGTTTGTTTGTTTTTGCCCAGTGTTGTTAATGCTTTTGGTAGACTGAAGGAAGGGAAGAGCCTTTCACTTAACATTTTGCATTTAACATTGGCTTTCACAGGAATCACCCTTCAGTCATAGTACAGCCCGGGAAGAGACCTTTACCTGTGGAATCTCCAGACACCCAAAGGAAGCGAAGGATACACAGATGTGATTATGACGGATGCAACAAAGTGTACACTAAGAGCTCTCACTTGAAAGCACACAGAAGAACACACACAGGTAGGTATCAGAAATATAAGACAAGCTTTCTTCTTAAGAATTAGAATAAAATGTTAAGTCAAATGTTCCGACTTTCAGAGGTTATTATGATGAAATTTTTTCAGGCATCTGAAAGTTACCAAAGTCATTTACAGATGTCTCTGTCATGAAAAATGAAGTTTTTGTAATGGTTTACTTTTGTAATAAGTAGAATGGATTCAAGGTTATCTCTGAAGCAAGGTCAATCACTTGTAGTTCTGTATATTCTGCAGTGAAGGAGAGAGAGAGGGATGGAACCTCCATTGGACCAGAGGGGAAGGTGCTATTAACAATGCATCTATTTCATCAGGATGTGGTTTTCATATGGGCTGTCATTTAGTAAGTGTATGTGATCAAATTCACAATAGCAAAAATTAGCTCTTTATGCAGAACAAATGCAGCAGTTCATAGAAATGGAATTTGGGTAAATCTTCCTCTATGTGATTGCCTGCCATATTTGTTCTAGAATATTTTCCATCTTACCCAGTCTTGGATATAGCATGTAGAGCCAGATCTTAGGAAAACCATTGTGTAGGTGAAGAAGACAAAATTGTTCTATGGGCCCTTAAACGTTTTGTAGCAAAAGAAATTTGTATAAAAATGTTTTAAACAGTTTGATCAGTTGCAGTGAGTATTGGTGATTGTTTACTGTAGGCCTCATCTGACCTGACCTCAGACTCTAGTGTGGAATTCTAGTGTAATAGAGATTTCCCTCTGTGTACATTGTTCTTAACTCAGAATGTAGATTTTTTTTATTCTTATGAGTTACTCTTATTAGGATTATTTAAAAAGAGAAGAATCTGGGATTTGGAAGAGAAAAGGGGGGTAAAGTGTCCGGCAGAGTGGAAGTGGAGTTTCTCAGTGAATTCTGTGGAGAGGAAGCCAGGGGAAATTAACCTACCTACAACTATTCTTTGTCCATTGGGAGAGCTGAGGGTGATAGCCTTGCATTTAGAGGAACACCCAATCACCCAAACTGTGTCAAATAGATTCATGAAAGCATCCCTAGGACATTAATAGGACCCGAGAGGTGGATACTACTAAATTCCAGCCTAAGATTAAAAAGACCAAATTGAATATTTGCATAACAATTCAGATGTCGGAAAAATACCTCTTAGCATTTATATTCTGTGCTGCAGAGCAAATAATACAAATTTTGAATATCTCATTGAAATGCCAAGGAATGGCAGTCCTACCAAGTTTCTAGAGAACAAGAGATGGGAATCAATTTGTGATGCCCATTACCGATTTTTACTAATTTAAACATGTAAAGTAGCCATTAACAGCCTTATTATTTGTAAGGGCCTTCATAATGGTTCTCCCTAGCATTTTCCCACAGGGTCATCTGTCCTCACCTGCAGGTTACCATTATCCCAAAGGAGGAGATGGAGAAGCCTGGCTTCTGACAGGGCGGGGGGGAATCATTATAGTTTTAGTACTTCCTAATTAAAGCATTATACTTAGGTATAGTTATTATTAATGAAACAAAAGATATTAAAATCCCCACAGATATTTTGGTTGATAGAGACTTAAGATTGCTTGAAAATAATCAGAAAGAATATGAAAATCCCACAAATTCTCAATTTGGACTTATTGAAGGGATAGCAAGCACTGCATATAACTAAGCTCCTAAGTAGGTTTAAGACTTGATGATATACAAATACAGATCACCAGGTGCTTAAGTTATTAATCCCTAGTACTGAGGACAAAACCAAAACTGTTTAGCCCTTCAGAATGGATTTCAATGCCTTCATGTTAAGAACTCTTAAAATTATCTCCCCACTTTTGGGGGGCAGGGGCAGCAAACCAGTTAAATATTAAAGAGAATTAATTTTTCTTGCTTGTCTTGTAATGGTTTATAAGATACTGTTATTGGGGGACAAATGAATAAACATACCTTGGAAATAATATATGTCAAAAATTTTACTTTACTGTATACTAATTAATAATAGCCTTTTGCTATCAGAAAAAATAAGCTCTTTTCCCTGTTTCTTTTTGCAGGAGAAAAACCCTACAAATGTACATGGGAAGGATGCACATGGAAGTTTGCTCGGTCTGATGAACTAACAAGACATTTCCGAAAACATACTGGAATCAAACCTTTCCAGTGTCCAGACTGTGACCGCAGCTTCTCTCGTTCTGACCACCTTGCCCTACATAGGAAACGCCACATGCTAGTTTGAATGTCTCCATCTCCGCCTCAGCACGCGGCTCCCCATTCGCCCAGCTCTCTGTCCTCCCTCCCATCGTCTAACTCATTTTTTACATGTACATTTTAATTTTGATTCAGCTGGTCTGAATCTCAGAATTTATATCATTCAAACTTCCATATGGTCAGTAGTAAATATTCTCTAATCCTCCCTCTCCTTACCACGGGTCAGACCTAAAGAATGTGAACACTTTTTTTTCCGGGGATGCTAAGCAAACCCTTCTTACAGATAAGTTTAATGTAATGACAACAAGGGAACATGTAAACTAACAGAACCAATTGTCGGTTTGTCCATGTATTCCTCAAAAGAATATCAAAGTAAATGTATTAGAAATACAGTATCCAGCCTGCTAGTCCTTGCCAGAGACATTCATACCTCTGAGCCCTGTGATCGCATTTTGTGCTGCACAGCGAAAAGACGGGTGGACCCCTTCACAGGTCAGCTAGAAGGGCAGCAAGATTCCAGGCTAGAACAGTCAGCTCTTCCATTGTCCTTCACCAATCTTGCTTTTCAACTTGGGTTTATCACTTCATCTAAATTAAGTCCTTTACCCTCCTTTGTGCCTGCAGCTAATAAGGAGGTCTTTGCCACCATTGGAAGATGGGCTAGAGCTGTTGACTTAGGTAGGTGATGTCTGTCAGGTTCAAGGAATGGATGCTGTATTTGCATCACATGGCATTGGAGCAAAGGGGCATTGAGTAAGGAGGCAAAGGAGGAAGCCAGCCAGGGGTTTTCAGTGAGATTTCATCATTTGGTTAGCTGTGCAGTGCATTCTTAGAGCTTCGGTCTCTATGCATATTCAGCTGTGCAGAACCTTCCAGCAAAGCCAAATACTGATGGGGTTACCCATGCACCGATCTCCGTTCCTACAATGTCCTTAATATAGATCATCAAGCATTGATAGTAGGGATGCCACAAAAATATTTGCCCAGTAATGGTAAAAAATCATTTGGATAAGGGTCTGAATGACCTTTTACCCAACCTATTGAGACGTTTTCTGCAAACAGGGAAGCATTGAGTGGCAATTATATTCCCATATCAAATTATTCATATGGCTTTCACACAGAAACTCTTCCATGTGAGCTATAAGATGCCAAATTGGCTGTCATTTGTGTTCATGACACATATCATAAATAAGCATCTGCTAATGCTTTAGTAGATTCATTAAGACCTGAGTGANGTGCCAAATTGGCTGTCATTTGTGTTCATGACACATATAAATAAGCATCTGCTAATGCTTTAGTAGATTCATTAAGACCTGAGTGACACTATTTGTAAATAGTTGTGAAGCACACAAACCTTTATTTGGGGGACAGATTTCTGAAGAAATAGAGAAAGTCACAGTTCAGGGATTCATATATGTAGCTCAACAATTCCCAGACGTTCACTGTTGGAGCTGGCACTCTCACTATCAAGTATCCTGTCAGAAGAATAAACTGAAAGTGACTCGTGTTTATGTTGAATTACACCATTATATGGGGGAAGTTTTGCAGAAGTAGGCTTTTGAGCACTATAGTCTAACTGCCAATAAAAATAATTCATGTGTAGAAATGTCACTGGTCCTAAATTTGAAGGAAGTGGCACCGGTGGTCGAAAGTGGGCGCGTATAACCACATGCCCCTCATAAAGGATGGAGGAGAGGGAAGAATGGAATCCTGGAGATTCATCCCAGCCACAGCTCAGGATCCAACACAACCTTAACTGGGAGGAATACACTGTTTTTAAAGCATCGGTGAATAAGTGATTCTGGAGGCCTGCGAATTGTGTGGGGAGCTTACTTTGGAGCTATGTTAATAAAAGTTAGCTGTAAGGACTGCACACCTAACAGATTCCACTCAACAGCTCTCTGAACCGACTGAAAGGAAATGTAGAGAAATAGAAAATAATTTGTTATCTGGCACTTGGTTTTTATTTTGTTTTTTTAAGCACTGCAAAATTTGTTTAGAATATTAAAACATCCTAATTGGGCTTTTTCTTTTTGTTGTCGTTTGTTTGCAACTAAGGTATGAATTGAGGGATAAAAATGGCTCTGGGAAAAGTAGGTATTGTCTGTGTTGTAAATACTTAGTCACATTCATGCCAAAGTGTTTATTTCTTGAAATGGTTGTTCCACAACACACCGAAGAATTAAGTTTGAATGCAAGGAACTTTTTTGTTTTGATAGAGAAAGCCAGTTTATATGTGTCCCAACAATAAAAGATGGAAAGGGGGGTAAGAAAGGGTAGAGTTGATCTTTATATAATTAGCTTTGAGTCTGAGTCCAATGAATAGAAAGCTTCATGGGTTCTAATGAATTTAATGTTTGCTATGGATGTCAAAATTCTGTTGGAAAGTGCAAGCAAGACCCTGCAGAGACGACTACATTACGTGTAGCTTGCTTCGATTATGTTAACAATTCGTCAACAAAGTTCCATTTTAACTCTGAAAGAACCACCCAGAGAAGCCATTCTCTGTTCCCATGCTGGTCTATATTACTTTAGTTACCAATTGGCTCTTTACAAATTTTCCTTTTTTATATATATTTGTATCTTACTATATGATAGTTGAGAAATTTAGTCTTAGTCATTTTTAGCTATTACTGTGGGAGACCTCAAACAATAAAATTCCCTTGAGTGTGTGGTTTTAATGATGTGCCATGTTACTATCAATGGTGATTTTAATTGCAATATTCAAGTTGATGAGAGTGATTTGTAGACATGGAGCTAGTGTTGTATAAGTTGTTATAGAATTTCTTCAGTTATTATCCAAGTGTCAGAAAAATTAAATCTAAATCCATCATATTTTAGAGTTTTAAAATGTGAAGCTACAATGTAAATGGGCATTAACATTCTGAATTGCCTGGTTTGGAGAATATGTTAGCAGCATAGTTATGTACATCTAAGGAAATGCTAAATGTGCAGAAGTTTTAAGAGCCTTGGAACAGATTTATAGGGGAGCTATATATGTATATGTATATTTTATTAAACACCCATCTGCACTATCAGTGTTGCACTAATGTGGAATTTGAAAGACTATATTGCTGATACTGTATGTCTGCACATCATTCCTGGTAAGATTGTTTTAAAGACAATCTCGAAGATCTCAAGTTTTAAAATAAATCAATTGGTTTGAAAATACAGTCATCTTGAAGGAATTGCTGTCACACATGAAGTTGCTCAGAGTGATATTTATTCTCTCTTGGTCAAGGTTAACAATTTCTAGATGATTGCAAATTCACTTAAGAAATAATACATTTACAAAGCCATTTTCCATGCATTAAACGAGGGCTACAATGTTATGTTTTACAAATACTAGCACTTTTTTTTTTGCTGTTATATACTTAGTGTTAGAGGGTCAAAATAATCTTTCTGCTTAGCATCTCTTAAACCATACCTGCAAGTATAGCAGGATTATTACATTTACAATACTTTAATACTTGTATAAACTATGCAGAAATTTTTAATAAAGTGTAATATATTTTATAAGCTAATAAGACTGAATGGGTAAAGGTTTTTAGCATGCATTAGTATACTTGCAAATACTGAAACATTTTGGTAATCTTTCTTACTAAAGATGTGAATGTTTAATGTACCTTCTCTGTTTCTACTCTGTAGTCCAATGGGAATTCAGTAATGACATTTTGTCATGTCAAACTGTGAACATAAATTTGTACTGTACAGTCCTCATATACTATATACAGTATGCAATATATGTATTATATACTTGTTAATAAAACCATCAGAATATTAAGTGTGATCATGTGATTACTATATATGCAGCGATCACAAAGAACAAAACTTAGCAATGAAAATTTCCAAGTAAATCACTCTGATAGGTAATCGTTGATGGAGGGAAAGAAAAACGGATCTAACTGAAAGATGCACTAAAAAAATTAACTCAGCCCTAAAGCCATGTCCCTGATTTTCTGATAATGGCCAACAGAAACTCTATACAAACAACCCAGCATTAATCTACAAACTCACCTAATGCATTCCTGGAATAGTCAGTTGTTTATGACCCTTACCTGCTTCCAAATAAATTGCAGTGCCTTGTATTAAAAGGCATGTGTATGTTAAAAGGCATGTAAATACTTTATGCTTTAAATAGGATAAAGATCAGGATTCATAACTTGATGAGTTGGGGAATCAGGCATGAGACAGTAAGTGCATTAAAGCAAATAATTCTGGATAAATATTTTTTAGTAAGCCGTGTCCACAGCATCAGAGGAACAACAAGCAGTTTTGATGAGGATTTAGAGTTCTTTTATTTAAAGCAAAATGTAATTACCTTCCCCATATCCCCACACTCCCCTAAACGCAGTTGAAACTAAGATGCTGGCTTGTTAGATCTCAAGCAGCTTCCTCCAGCCCAACTTCATCTTAGAAAACATGAAATAATGCCTGGCTGGCACTTATCACATGATTCACCTTCACAGACTGTGGAGAGTGGAAGGAGGTTAGGAGAAGGTTGAATTCAGCCTTCTCCAGGAAACTGCTTTTATACTGAGACACATGACTGCAAGCTCAAAAAGGCATTGTATGTAACTTACATCCTAATGGAATATTGGCTGGTATGCTCCCATTATACTTCACATATGCGTGAGATGACACTGGCTGAGTTCAAAATGAGACCCGACCTCCAAGATAGTGTGTTAAAGCTGGATTCTGCTCGGGTGAGTGATGAGGTTGGTGACAAATGTAGATTTTGTGAGAAACTAAATTCTTTGAGGAATGGTCAAACAAAGTAAGGGTGCGTTCAGTGCACACACACACACACATTCATAATCATTGCCCAATATTTTAAATGCTGTTGGGTTGAAGAAAAAGGGATTGGGAGCCTTGCTGGGGGCAAGTTCTCTATTCTAGCGTACATTAAAGGAAAGAAGTTCAGGGGAGAACAGACTGAGATGACAGTAAAAACATAGATGTATAAGTTAAACTATTAAAGACTAGAGTGGCCTGTGTGTGTGCACAAAACTCAGCAATGAATCGCCCTTCAAGGGTACATTCATTTCATGTGTAAACTGAATCTGTCACCATTTCCTGTTATCTGAGGTGGCTAGTAATGGTGCGGTATATATAGAGTGACTCCCAAATTAGAGCGATATTTTTAAACTTATTACTTGGTGGGAGGCAGTTCTCACCAAGTCTCGATAGACATGTTGACTGCTTTGAGCGCTACTGCTCATTATGTCCCTGCTTTTGCATTTCCTATCAGCATCCTGAATGGTCTGGGTTAAGGACAGGAGACAGAAGCTGGACCTTCAGGCTCGGCTCCTGGATCATATCTCTTTCACACTGAACACATTTCTTCCTTCTCTCAAGACTCAGCATATTAGCATTCTCCAGGGACCCAGAAAAC